GTGTACATTCACTGTCTACAGCAATTACTTCTGGTCCTGGAATCTGGTCCTTGTTTTAAGAACACTATCTGTCTGTGATTAAAATTGCATTGTTACACCAGTAGGTGGCGAAAAGGCTTCATAAATCAATTAATTCATCCAAAACACTGATTCATTCAGGAATGAAACAAGTGACTTTTGTGAATGAGTAATTATCACTCAAATGATGTTCGAAACACTGATTCATTGAAAAAGGATGCAAATGACTCTTAATGGGTGAGTCATTGCATCATAACTCTGATCCATTCAGAAATGAAAGAAGTGACCATCTTTATGAGTGAGTCTTTGAATCATTCTCAGCCAGTTTGTTCAAAACATTGATGGAATAAAGCAAATGACTCTTTATGAGTGAGCCACTGAAACATTCAGTCATACTATTCGTTCAAAAACACTGATTAATTTAGGAATAAATGAAGGGACCATCTTTATGAGTGAGTTATTGAATCATTCTCCGTCATTTAGTTCAAAACGTTGCTTTGCTCAGGAATGAAGTCAATGACTGTGAGTCACTAATGCATTCACTCATCCAATTTGTTCAAAACATTGATTGAGGGATGAGTGAGTCATTGAAGCACTGAAAAAAAAAAAAAGATTCATTCAAGAATGTCATTACTTTGGTTGTTCCGCTGTGTATTTTTGTTAGGCGAAGCAAAACATAGACCAAGTAATTAGTGATGTCATGACAAAAATGTAAGTTACTAAACATTAGCAAGAGTACTCTGGCTTGTACATTATGGTATTCCTGGTCTTGTTGTACCTGATCGTAATATCTGAAGGTTACCACAGCTGCTGCAGGTAACTTGGTGATTCTACAGTCCATAAGCTGTTCATCCGGCTGTAGATGTATGACCCTGTGGAGAACTTCCAGTCTTGCTTTCTTTTATATAAAGCAATTCCCAGTCTTGTAAACCAATGGCTAAACTATCATAGTTGATTGATGCTATCCAGCATACCTATGAATTGTGCTCCTGCAGGCTTGCAGATAAATGAAACCTGGCTCAGGGCCTCTCTCTTTCTCTGACTGTATTGAAAAATCTAAAGGAAATCTTTTATTTTCTCAATAGCTTAAGTTTTAGAATAGAGTAGTTTTGATATGACATGTTTGCTGAATGACAGCATTACTCACGGCTCAATATTACCCGTTTCTGTCAGCATCACTGGCATCTGTAGCACGGGTGTCATCTGCATGTATGTTGCCAAATGACGATGCAATGCACACGTAGAGGCTTTCTATTTTTGTTTTGTTTCTCTTGTACTTCCTCTTCGCCGCTCTTTCTCCTTCCTGCTCTTCTTTCCTTCCTCCTCCTCTTCTCTTCTTGTTCTAGTTTCCTTCTTACTTCTCTTCTTCATTTCCCTCTCTCCTTCCTTTCTCTTCTTTTCTTTCTTTCATCTTCCATTCACCCTCTTCCTTTTAACTTACTCTTATTCTCTCCTTCTTCCTTTACTCTTTTACTTCATTTTCCTCTTCTCTTCTCCTTCTCCTTCTCCTTCACCTTCCTCCTTTTCTTTTCTCTTTTCTTTTTTTCTCTTCTTTTCCTCTTCCTTCCTACTTTCCTTACTCTGCTTCTCTTCTGCTTTATTTTCCTCTCTTTTCTTTCATTTCTCTTCTCTTCTTTATTTCCTCTTCAATTTTCCCTTTTCCTTTTGACGTCCTCTCCTTTTTCTTTTAATATTTTACTTCCTTTTCCTCTTCCCTTCTACTTCACCTTCCTCTCTGCTGCCTCTTTCTGTTCCATTATTTTTCCTTGCCTTCTCTTTCCTGTTTACTTCTCTTCCATTTTCCTTTTCTCCCGCTTCCTTTCTACTTCCTCTTCTTCTCCACTTCTCCACTTCCTCCTTTCTCTTTTCCTTCCTCTTCCCTCCTACTTCCTTTCCTCTTGTTCATATTCATTTCCTACTTCATCTTCCTCTCTTCTTCCTTATTCCCTTTTAATCTCTTGGGTCTTGTCCTCTTCTTCCTTTTCAGTTCTTTCCTCTTTTATTTCCCCTTTTCCCTTCTACTTCCTCTTCCTCTTCCTCCTCTCCACTTTGCATTCTGTTTTCTTTCCCCTTCCCTCCTTCTTTCCTTAATATTCTTCTTAGTTTCTACCTTATCTTCCTCTCTCCCTTCTCTTTTCTTTCCTTTTTCTCTCTTCTTCCACTTCACTTCTCCCCCTTACTGATTACTACTACTTCCTTCTCTTCCTTTCTTCTTCCTGTTTTAATCTCCCCTTTTTCTCTGCTATTTCATCTTCCTTTCTCTTTTCCCCTCCTTATCTCTCTTATCCTTCCTTCCTTCCTTCCTTCCTTCCTCCTCTTCTCTTCCCCTTCCACCTCTTTCTTATCCTTCCTCCTTCTCTTCTGTTCTCCTTCCTCCTTTATCTTCCCTTACTTCCTCCTCTCCTCAAAGGTGAACACCATATTAATCCAATACAGCTCTTGACATTTGATTCTCTTGTGCAGAACTACATGATTGCCATAATTGTTCTCACCTCACCCTGCTCACCCCGCCACTTTACAGAAAGTACAGAAGCTTTATGAGCTCGCACTGTGCCGGGAATCACACAGTCGCATTGTTGTCAGCAGCAATGGCATTCACTTTCATGTTATTTGAAAAAAAAAAATCAGCTCATTACACCTCACGCCTCTCAAGGCCTCCGCCGCTTGATCCTCTTCTTTACCTCCCTCCCTGCTGAAGCGTTTGTCTCCTGCGTCATCATCTCTCACTGGGGCAGAAGTTTAAAAATGTATTCATTTCATAATCTTATTTTTTTGTTTATTATTTTTTCATCTTATTCCCTTCCCACACAAAATGCAATTTTGCCAGGCTCATTGTTTGAGAGGTAGCAGAGTGCTTTTTTGTTTGCTCCCCCTCTCTTCCTCTCTCTCGACTTGGAGCAACCTAGATTGTGTTATGCAAATGTATTAGTGTAAAATCAAATCAGAGAAGATAAACCAGACCCCACACTTGAAACCAACAGGGATTTTCAGTTTTTCTAAAAGATTTGTTGTTAAAGCTTTATCTTTCCTTGTAATTGATCATTTACACTCAATATATATATTACAATTATCTCTGCATGAAATTCAATTAAATGAAGTAAAAATGGGCATATAGTTTAACTACTGCGAGTCGTTCTCCTTTAAAACATTTAGTGATAACACGGTTGAGTATATGTTTCATGTGTGATCCTCACCAGCAGTCAAGAAGACTTCAGGGCAGCAATTCAAGTAGATTTGCGATGAAATAATTGATTGTTATGGCGGTCACAATTAGGTTAAGACCAGCACCCTGCCGAGAGGAAGAGGAGAGGCAAACCAGAGAGTGAAAAGAAGTGAGAAAACAGTTTTGCAGTGCTTTCAACATGGTGTTTTAATGCCCACAGGGAAGAACATCCATGTTCAACAGGTCTCCTTCACATCCTGCAATTCAAAACATTTTCTAGTGCTTAGAGTGTCTACATAGAAAATGAACTGTTTATTTGCAGCAAATCCCTGCCGAGAGGAAGAGGAGAGGCAAACCAGAGAGTGAAAAGAAGTGAGAAAACAGTTTTGCAGTGCTTTCAACATGGTGTTTTAATGCCCACAGGGAAGAACATCCATGTTCAACAGCTCTCCTTCACATCCTGCAATTCAAAACATTTTCTAGTGCTTAGAGTGTCTACATAGAAAATTAACTGTTTATTTGCAGCAAATTTTCATAATCGATTAGTGGGTGGGTTGTCTAAATGACTTGTTGTTCTTGAGGAAGCATTATATAATTAGTGAGATGTTCACTAGACTAGACTTCTGTAGGGGGCGGTTTAGATAAGACTCGTTCTTGTATTTAAAATGTTTGGACAGAGTGCAACAAGGTCTCAATACAAATTTATAAAACAAACTGACAGCATGCTAACACTCTCAGAGAAATTGTGTTTTTAAACTAGCATGCTGCTAGGAATGCTAAGGTCATTGCTTTGATTCTCAGGGAATGTAAGATCTGAAAGAATCTATGTAGACCTTGTTTTATGGGCAAGATGTATTTTCTTAAATAAAAAAGTGTGTCAAATGCATAAATACATATGTAAATGCATGCTAAACCTGCTAAAGCTAAAACTAACATGCATCTGTCCACACACTTCCTGTCCCAGGTTTCTTTCTGAGTCTGGTCACACACATGCCTTTAAGTACCTGTATCTCTGAGAGCCGAATGCGCTTGATACCTAGGGTTGATTGAAGAATTGGTAGGTGGGAAGCCATGCTTTTATTTATGCCTCCTCTGCAAGAATAAATAAAGTGACACAGACAGAAAAGGCAGTTCATATCTCCCTGACTGAGGAGAGGAAGAAACAGAGAAAGCAGACCCAATATTGAGGCACAGCTTTATGTGACTTAGATTGAGAGTGCTGTGCGTGCAAAGACATGAACTCACAGACGACTCACGCACTCAAAAAAATGTAATGGATATGAAACACTCTTCCAAGGTCACCTACGTTGCATGTGTGTGTGAGAAATGTTTTGTCTGCAATTCACTTCCACTAAGCTAAGCTTGTGTGGCTAGACAGAGATTGTTTTCAATGCTAGAGCACCTATATAGTGACTGGCTGTTCCTGTGTACCTTTGTCTGTGCTTGTGTGTTAATGCAACAAAGAATGTTCTTAAAATTGCATTGCTTATTTTAGAAAATATTTTTTTACCCCCTAGTTTTTCCAATTCACCGATTTATTAAACAGTTTTATCCCTTGTGGTGGAGAATTGCACCATGGAAATTGATTGCAGTGTTTGTGGCATTACCTAATTTGCATAATTTGTTTAGTGAATCAGGCACTGAAGAGCATGTGCAAATAAGCAACAGAAACTCAATGCTATTTACTATATATGACATTTTAGTGTGTATTATCTATTGTATCTATCTGTTTCAGCATTGATTTGTGTTAGTCAGTATCGTCTACAGTAGTATTCCAAACCTTACATGGTTCTCTCTCTCTCTTTCTTTTTTTTTGCAGTTTGGCCTAATAAAACCCTTCCCAAAGAGTGGAGAACCTGTCAGCGAATTATGAATGATAAACAAGATGACCTCCTCCCTGATGCAGCAGACGATGAGAGGTCCTAGGTGGAATCGGGCCCTGTCCGACCCATTGTTCGTGCTGTCGCTGGCCCTGCAGCTTCTGGTGGTGGCTGGCCTGGTGCGAGCCCAGACGTGCCCCTCTGTCTGCTCTTGTAGCAACCAGTTCAGCAAGGTCATCTGTACGCGGCGTGGCCTTCGAGATGTACCCGATGGTATTTCCACCAACACAAGGTACCTGAACCTTCAGGAGAACCTCATCCAGGTGATCAAGGTTGACAGCTTCAAGCATCTAAGGCACCTGGAGATCCTGCAGCTCAGCAAGAACCACATCCGCAACATTGAAATCGGAGCTTTCAATGGGCTGGCCAACCTCAACACTCTAGAGCTGTTTGATAATCGTCTAACCACAATCCCCAATGGGGCTTTCGAGTACCTGTCCAAACTTAAAGAGCTTTGGTTGAGGAATAACCCTATCGAGAGTATACCCTCTTATGCCTTCAACCGCGTAACATCACTACGAAGGCTGGACTTGGGTGAGCTGAAAAGGCTCTCGTATATCTCAGAAGGTGCCTTTGAAGGCCTCAGCAACCTGCGGTACCTGAACCTGGGCATGTGCAACTTGAAGGAGATCCCCAACCTCATTCCTCTTGTCCGTTTGGATGAGTTAGAGATGTCAGGAAACCAGCTGTCTGTAATTAGGCCTGGGTCTTTCAAAGGCCTCGTCCACTTACAAAAACTGTGGATGATGCATGCGCAGATCCAGACGATTGAGAGAAATGCCTTTGATGATCTTCAGTCCCTCGTGGAGCTCAATTTGGCCCATAATAACCTTACCCTCCTACCCCATGACCTCTTCACCCCACTACACCACTTGGAGAGGGTGCACTTGCATCACAACCCCTGGAACTGCAACTGTGACATCCTCTGGCTCAGTTGGTGGCTAAAGGAAATGGTACCAGCCAATACCAGTTGCTGTGCCCGCTGTGCATCACCTACCAGCCACAAAGGGCGCTACATTGGTGAACTCGACCAGAACTATTTCCATTGTTATGCACCGGTGATCGTGGAGCCACCAGCAGACCTGAACGTGACTGAGGGCATGGCAGCAGAACTGAAATGTCGAGCGAATTCTTTGACGTCAGTCAGCTGGATCACGCCCAATGGGTCCCTCATGACGCACGGGGCATACAAGATACGCATTTCTGTGCTCAATGATGGGACTTTAAACTTTACCAACGTCACAATGCAGGACACGGGAATGTACACTTGTATGGTGAGCAACTCTGCAGGCAACACGACAGCCTCGGCTACACTCAACGTGTCCTCGACAGAGAACAGCAGCTTCAGTTACTTCACTACAATTACTGTGGAGACCACAGAAGCGACACATGATGAGGGCCACCCTACGGTACAGCAGAATGGTGGCCCTACTCCTTCTTCTGGAATTTGGGAGACCTTACCACCTTCCTTCACCACCACCACAACCACAACAACAGCACAGACACAACTGTCCACCAAGGCCACCGACAAGACCTATACCATCCCTGTCACAGCCCTGATTGACGGCTCCCTCAACACCTTGGATGAGGTCATGAAGACCACAAAGATCATTATAGGTTGCTTTGTGGCCATCACCCTGATGGCGGCCGTCATGCTGATCATATTTTATAAAATGCGCAAACAGCATCACCAGCAGAACCACCACGCACCGACGCGAACCATCGAGATTATCAACATGGACGAGGATTGTGTAACGGGTGGACCTACCATGGAGGGCCACCTCACCCTCCCCCCACTGGAGCATGAGCACCTGAATCATTACAACACCTACAAGACTGCGTACAACCATGCCTCCACCATCAATTCTATACACAGCTCTGTCCATGAACCTTTACTAATTCGGGCCAGCTCAAAAGACAATGTACAAGAAACCCAGATCTGAACTGCTTTTCATAATGGGGATTAAACGACAAAAAAAAAAAGACTTCTAAAACTCTTAAGGAACAGTAAGTGACATATCGATTTTGAAGATTGTCGAAAACAAAGACACAGTAGCCCGATGCAAGATGTATGAGAAGGATGTGGACAGGTAGACAAGGACATTGGGAGTTGAGTGTACGTCAACAGTTTCAAAAGTGTCTTTGCATAACAGAAGTTATTTATTTAAGGAAAATAACTATTGTGGTTTAATCAAGAAAAGATATAATCTGCAATTATTTTTCCAGCAATTATTTCTCCATGTTTTTAATGTTATTTTAAGGGGTGTTGGTTTACTAATATGCTTTTAAACTCTGTTTAAATCTATTGCTCTGTATGTGAGGACCCACGTCATTTGCAGATGAATCTGAAACTTTCCATCTTTCTGAAATCTCAAGATTCACATTTAATGGTGATACTTTTAAAATCTTAGTTTACAGACTGTCATATTAGAAAACTTCCACACCATAATTGTTTAAATTGATCATGTTAATTCTAAATTATTAATTTCTTGACTCTCCTCAATTACTGATATTTGGCAATATCACATTGTTTAGTTATCCTTGCTGAAAAAGAGGCTTTTGAAATCATATTAGGCAGGTTTGCTGGTCGTAGTTGGCCTCCCAGCCTGGTCAGGTCCGTCTGTTGGCTGATTTTAGAGTGGTTTTGGGCACTTTAACTGGAAAGGCTGGAAGACGAGCCTAGAACAGCTAGTTTTTTCAACAGGGATGGCTGCTACAAATTAGATGCAGATGTATACCTGGCTTCTCCACCCTAAAATCTAGAACAAGGAGCCCTGGAAACGTGTCCCCATTTAAAACCGGGCCAAATGTCAGGAACACTTGTCTATTTGATGCATGCAGGGCAATTTCAAATCATTTCTGTGCTTGGACCAGAAGATTTATGGGTTAAGTTAGCATTTTGGGATGGCCCACATGCTCTTAAATACATGTTGAGGGATCTCAAGTTCTTAAAATTTTTTTTTTTCTGCATTTTTCTGCATTTTTATTCTCATATAACATAACATTATGTGTTCCTGTGGCATTTTATCCTTGATACCATACTAAAGTTTCCCAATACTCATACACAGATGCAGCACACTCATTCTATGTCAAATTCTATAGGGGCAGGGGGCTGAAGATTGTAGGCCTTTATTTGAAGGCTGACAGAGAGGAAATGTGGCGAAAGCATAGAGCTGGTACTGACGTAGCACCATTTCCATTTCAACGCATTTGTCTTCGTGCTCACCATGGATACAGTTGAATTAATTCATTCTGGAATGGACTAAAAGCAGGGCATTGAACCCTAAATAAGTGGGCAAAGTCAGTGCAGCTCAGATCTAAAGCTTCCAAAGATGCCACAGATGTGTCTTTATAGATTGTGAACCGATTGTGTTTTTTTCCCCTCTCACTATTCCTCTTTTTTTTCTGGAATTCTTTCATATTCTATCTTCCATCATTCTGCACTGCCAATCTTTTTAGGCAGTTATGCAATTCTTTTTAAAGTTTTAAATCATATTCAGTCACTTTAGTTTATTTTCGTTACAGACTGAGGATGATACATCCATCTTCGGCTTTACACACGCAGTAGCATTTGGCTGCAGGGGGAATGACTTGGTATTATTAATTAATTTATGAAATCAGAATGGACGGAGACGGTCACTATAGCAACCAATGACCTTGGACAGGTTTGGGGGTGCGGGTCAGGGGGTAGACGATAGACACTGGTTTGACGCTTTAAATGTATTCAGAGTCAAATGGGAGAGTGAGGCTGGGTGAAAGAGCCAAAGTGGACTCATTTGAAGTGCATCATTTAAAATGTAAAGCAATCTAGAGGTCTATAGGTAATATGAATTAAGCCAATAAGCCTGTGACATTTTATTCAGATTCGTAGCATTTCGTTTTGGGCGTTCATAGTTCATGCAAAGCACACAGGAGACTGACAAGGAGATTTGTCTCTTGCATTTCTGCTCTTAATACAGATGTCGACTGATACCATGTGGCATTTGGTGAACTATTCCGTATCATATTTTGATCACACACCAGATGCACTCTAATTTTGAAAGATCTGATGCAATTATGCTTGTCAGCTTTGCTATTTCAGATCATTACGAAAAAGTTTTTGAGTGTACCTCCTGCCCACTAGAAGCTAAGGCCATCTGGTACATTTTCTAATCAAGATATCAAAGCGTGCAAAAAAAAGACTGTTCTTCATCTGAATATGCTGCTCTTTCGAATCTTAATTAATTTCCTTGTACTTCTGAATTTAGTTTGCATTGTCACTGAAATTGATGTCAATCTCAACATAAAGGGAATTTTTTTTTTATCATCAATGGAGTTTAGCACAAAAGTAAACCAAGTCATTGGGTCGTTCATAGTTCATGCAAAGCACACAGGAGACTGACAAGGAGATTTGTCTCTTGCATTTCTGCTCTTAATACAGATGTCGACTGATACTATGTGGCATTTGGTGAACTATTCCGTATCATATTTTGATCACACACCAGATGCACTCTAATTTTTAAAGATCTGATGCAATTATGCTTGTCAGCTTTGCTATTTCAGATCATTACGAAAAAGTTTTTGAGTGTACCTCCTGCCCACTAGAAGCTAAGGCCATCTGGTACATTTTCTAATCAAGATATCAAAGCGTGCAAAAAAAAGACTGTTCTTCATCTGAATATGCTGCTCTTTCGAATCTTAATTAATTTCCTTGTACTTCTGAATTTAGTTTGCATTGTCACTGAAATTGATGTCAATCTCAACATAAAGGGAATTTTTTTTTTATCATCAATGGAGTTTAGCACAAAAGTAAACCAAGTCATTGGGTTTTCAGTTGCATTTTATTTATTATAAGAACTTGAATCATTGACTTAAATTGTCATAATTTTTGGAAAAGGTCTTTGTCGTTTTTTATAATATTATCAATTTGTATTATAATTTTTGTTATTTTTCAATTTATTGTGATTTTTTTTCTGTATGTTTGTTCAGTCCCATCATGCATCTGTGTTTTGGGTTTCAGATTAAGAGTGAACGAGATGCTTTTCTCTCCGTTTCACGTAAATTCTTTCTTTTCGTCTCTGAGAGGGAATGCTGTTCTAGTGGTAGATTTCTATAAAAATACATTTTGAAAAGAAAAAGATAAAAACAAAAAAACAAAACAAAAACTTTTTAAATTTTAATTTTACATGTGCCAACCTGTTCTAAAAAAAAAAAGAGAGAGAGAGAGAGATATGCTGTAAAAGACAACTGGATTGATTTTCATGTAAACATTATTTCATGACCTTTAAAAAAAAGATGGAGATCGATTATAGAAATCAGAGTTTGTAGTTCATACACAAGATAAGGTTACAAATAAACTATCATTGTCTTTTATCGTCTCATTAGTTTTCTTTCACTAAGGTTTATTGTGTCAAAATGAGATAAGTCTTAAGCAAAATTGTTTGTAATGATAACTGTCAATATTAATCACACTGTCTTGTATTTTATATTACACACTTCAGCTTTGGAAAAAACATATTTGTGTATGTTTTAGTGCTTCAAAACAACATCATCTTGCTGTGCATGAATGGATGTTTTTCATTGATAGGCCGTATTTAGTGTGTGACTGGCTCCACCAGTTGTTTTTAGTTTTAGACAGTATTAGAAATGGGTGAATTGAGAAAAGACAGATGAAATGTTTCCTCCTAGCTGATTTAAAGCAGCTGGACGTAGTGCATGTTGCAGTATGAATAAATTTCACTGGCTGTCTCATTGTGATGAGCACAGCAGTGCTGTTTTCCAGTGCTGTGCTCGGAGACAAATACCTGAGAGATGAAGCTCTACTCATTTTACTTGTGCCTGACTGTTTTAATGAATATAATTGCAATATTTAAGAGGAGAAAATTAACATCTGTTTGGATCAACATCAAAAAGAGATTTGTGTGTTTTACCTTGTTTTTTTCCCAGCAGATTTTGACTCGTATTTATTTTAGCAGTATTTTATTACAGTATTTATCAATAATTTATCAACAACATTAGCAATGTTGCAATAGCAAGTAAACTAGAGTAGCACAAAAGCTTGAATGTAAGTTTAAAGCAGCACTATGTAACTTTTGGTTCTCTAGCGGTTAATAAACAGAACTGCACACATCCCGCAGAAGAACATTCCAACCGGAGCTACTTCTCTAAGTTTATGTCTATGGCGATTCACGCAGGTATGTGTTACTCCGCAGCGGTGACGACCCGACCAGGCTACAATAGTCCAAATATAATAGTACTTATTATAAGTGTACCGTAGTGATTCGGGATAAGACACAAAATGCGGTTTGGAAGATGAATTCATGATGTACTCGCTCATTATATACATTTTGCCAATTTTGAACACAGAAAAAATTACATAGTGCTGCTTTAATGCAGAGTAGAGACAAGATTATTTTTATTGTAAAATAAATGGATATGGATATGGCTTTGGGCCTGTATTTTGCAGCCCTTTTTGAGGCCCATGTTGCTTGTTACCTGCCTCACATTGTTAATTTCCTGATGAACTGTCTTGTAGCCGTCAGTTTAAGACTAATTATGGAGCAGAAGGCCAGTTCACAGTGGTTTGCACCTGGAACGCTGACCCACAAAGCAACAGAAATTATTGTTTTTTTGGGGGGGGGGGGGC